AATAGCATCTTGAATTTCAAATTCGGCGGCCGAATCAATAAGACCGATAATTTCATTGTGGCGCTTTTTAAAATCCTCGTAAGCCTCATCTATGTTTTCATAAATCACTTGAAAATATGTATGCTGTGAAGGATCTGTTTTGGCTTTTACCGCTAAATTATAAGCTTCTGTAATTCGATTAATAGCGACAGTTCTTTTATTTGATAGCTTCGCTAAAGACATGATAATATTATTACTTAATAACACTAATTTAAATTATTAAAATGTTATTATTTATATTACTCTATCTAATGTAAACAACGAATTAACGAAAGTGTCTAGAGAAATTATAGCAACAAGCAAATAAACAAATGTAAATCTATTCAAAGTGGAATGGTCCAAAAAAAAAACACAAAATAGCAAACAGTTATTTTCCTTTTCTTTTTTACCCGATAACATAAACAAATCCGAAAAATATCTACCTATGTAAAATTGATAAAATGGATATTATTTTTACTTTTAGAATCCAAGGTCAATGATTTGCTTCCACGTACAAATTTCTAATATTTGCCCTTTTATTACTGTTCCAAGTTATCCGGATCGTAAGGCCAAAAAATGTTTATGATTAAAACGTTGGGAAATTTATTCTGGAGAGCCGCGGACTGTAAACGCGTCGAAATTTGATCGCGGAACCATACAAAGGCAATATTAGATAAGGCACCTACCTTGGAGTTGCACAGGGTTGTGCTATGCGCTGGTGTTGGCGCCTCACAGGAGCTCCTGTTTCATAAACAATGTAATCCCACTGGTCACTTCGAAAACGGGTAGATAATTGAGTTTCTAATGAATATTTTTGGAGAGTTTTTGATTCAAAATATGTAGTCCTGGCTACGGACGCGCGACCTCGCACTACTCGAACTCGACTGCTTCGAAGGTCGTAGCGTATATATGGTGCCGAATGGTTTGAAATTGTATGGTTTTTTTTAATGTCAATATCGAATTTTAAATATACAAACAAATTCCCCTTTTCCCAAACATTTGCACGAACACTACTTAACTTACACTCAACATGGCGTAGCATGTTGTTGTCACATGCGCGCCTGGCGCGCTTTGTGACCTTGCGTAGTTTGTCGGTGTTCTGGCAACGCAGCCCTATTCCTATCTTTTCTTTTAACCTCGCACTCGACGTTTCCAGGTTGCCCTCACACGTCACTTGTATGACTCTCGTCACTGGCCTATACCACGAATGGTAAACATTGGGCCGATACATCGGCCTGCTCGTAAGGCAGTGGGGTCCAATGGACGCAGTCTCGACACCAGATGAGCGAGCTCAGGGGTATGTGCGCGTAAAATGGTAAAATGTTTGGTACCATGATCACAGACTTGTAAAATTTGAAAGAAAAAAAAGTCTTGTGTCTGTGTGTGGAATCGAACCGTTGACCAGTCGGACCACTGGCTCAAGAACCAAGAGCGTTAACCACCAGACCACGGATAGATCTTGTTTGTAAGTATCAAAATGTTTGGTACTATGATCAGACTTGTAAAATTTGAAATGAAAAAATTACTTTAAATTGAATAGGTACCTATTAGGCTGGCCTAACCTAATCTAATGTTGTGCACATTGGTCTCGTTGAATTTTGTTTAAATTCTTATAGCCTAGCCTCGCCTAGCCTAGCCCAGCCCAGTTTAGAGGGAATCAGTAAAAAACAAACAAAAAAAATAGGTGTAAGAGTTTTATTAAAAAGAAAATTTGCGTTTACATTGAAAAATCAAAAGTCTTCCATGTTGTTTGTGGTTGCAGTTCAATGTAGACGATAATTCAACCAATCCTCACTTTTGCACCCTTTAAAGGTTTTGTCATCTTTTTTCCTTTACTTGCGTTTCTGCAGATATCACAAGTATATGAAGCAATGCTTTTCCTCACATTATTATGTCTAATAAAATCTACCACAGAACAAGTTTTACAATTCACTGGAGTTAATTCATAGCAATAATGCATTTTTATGTAGGTAGGTAGGTAGGTACTGGTCAATGCGGTAGTTTGAATATCACTGAGATTAATGTTAAAAGTGGTTGATTTATATACTATTGAAAATTTTGTATATAGGTAGATAGGAACATAGGTGACAGTAAAACACAAAGTGTACGAATTGATAATCGATTTATTAGACATATAACTAGAAAAATTAGGTTTATTTATAGATTTTCAAAAAAGTAGGTCTGTATCTTTTTTCCTCCTATATATTTTGAATATTCAATATCCCAGCTGCAAGGAATACAAGGTCGATTGGGTATATCAGTTTCACCCTTACATCTGGGGCATGTGTACTTGATGGGTATTGGCATTGTGAACAGTACGATCTCTATCCACGTAATGTTTCATTTGAAAAAGAAACTCTGCTGTGATACACTTTTGGTGTTTGATAATTTCATACCATTTTACTAATGTGGCATGTTTTCGAATATATTTCTGGGATAAAACTTGGTATTTGGATATGAAAGGCCAATGGACCGCCGTTTTAAATTCTTCAATAAAGGACTCACTCAACTGTTGGTACCTTGATAGTGTCCAATTAACTTTTGTAAGAAACATCCTGATAAAATCTTCTTGTAAAGTTTGGTAAGTACTGATGAGATCCCAGTTGATCTTTCGTTGATAATAGGTTATAAACTTTTCAGTTAAAACTGGTGATTTCGATATGTCGTTCCATACAGTTCTTATTGATGGAGCACAATCACTATTCATTTTTATTTTTTTTTTGAACTTGCTTACTCTTTGAAGGAAAAAACTATAATGACCAATTTGAGGAAAAAAACTGCTTTTTATTGATGCTTATCAGTTACGCAACATTATTTTTATCTATCCAGCTGTTGTGTTTACTATCAAACCCAAGCCATTTCACAAACACCTTATTTTTCGAACGTCTTAGAATTTTCTCAACTAGGTAAATGTCTGGATTTTTAACTTTTTGTAATTGAAGTTCATAGAATCCTCCCCTAATTTCCTGTTTGTTGAAATCCTCTAATAGATATGTTGTTGGGTTTGTCAGCTGAATTTTTTTTATGCTGAAAATTTCTGTAGACCAGTTTGCTGTATATTTTTTATCAAATCGTCGTCTTGCATACGAAAGGGCGTATCTAAAAAATTCTAATTTTGCAGGAGAGCGGTTTCAAGTTCTTGATACAATCAAAACTTCTGCCACAAGAATACAATAAGGTTTTTTTGACTGTAGTTTGGTTTTTTTCAGTCCGAAAAAGAATACATATGCTAAGCACTAAATATGTTTTGGCTAAATATCTTTGACATTATGCAAAAAAGAGGGAAAAGTTTTAAAAAATGAGATACGCCCTTCCGTGTGCTGCTAATTTTTGGATCTTTGGATTGGTAGAAAAAAATGCGCCCCGTTAAATGTAATACAAACATATATTTTTGTTACAAAGAAATTAACAATAAACTTCGAAATAATGTTGAAATAATTAAACTAAACTTCCAGCAAAATGTTCCTACAATAGAAAAACAGCATTTTACTCATGAGGAAGCGATATGTAGGAGGCAATGTGGTCAAAAGATTTTACCACCTGGTCTTTTCCAGAGCACAGTGAAACCAAGTTGTCGTACTTAAGGGCTATCACTTTAGATCTTAGCTCATTGAGCTTCCCAACAGGCAAAATAAAAATATTTTCCTGTTTGCTTTTTAGGGTAATGCTTCTGTAGGTTCCATCACAATGAGATAACTTGTAGAACATTTTATCAGGCTCTTTCTATTCAACTTTAAACTCCGGGATATCTGTCCAGTTCACTTTGTTTTTGTTATCGTTTTCACGGATACTCAAAACTCGTAAATTTTTTGTTAAACCTTTAAAATTTAAGAAGTCAGTATGTTCCATCTAATTTATAGCGTAAGGTTGTTTCCTTCTTGCCAATTTGAAACTAGGCAGTAGTTGCGATGGAACAAACAAGTTCCCTGAATGAGACATTGTGGTAGAAATGGTGCTATGACTGCCTATGACAGGAGTCTCCTTCACTTAAAACAAACAAAAGGGCGGAATTGAGATCCGCCTTTTTGTCTGCTTCTAAAATACGCTGTATTGAGTTTCGCCCAAATTAATTTTCTAAATAACTCCGCAGGGCATAATGATTAAGATGCGCCCATTTGACAGCAACAAAATATCGACTAAAGACATAATTTTAACGGCATATCTAAAAAAATCGATTTTTTGAGATACGCCTTTTCGTATGCAAGACGACGAAATACACCACGAGTTTTAGAATATACGAACTTGATCACCAATATTGAATTTTGGCTTAGAGGCGATCTTGATTCTATTGTAAACTGTATCCAAGAGAAGTTTCTCGTGCCGTTTTCTAACCTCGACAGGTTTCATACCAATTGTCCTGTGTATTCTATTGTTATAAAATTTTACTATTCTAGGCAGTATGTCTATCCACTTATATGATCCTTGATAATTGAATTCCTTCCACATGAAATTTTTCAAAGTTCTATTAACTCGTTCCACAATTTGTGCCTTTTTCTCACTAAAACTGCTATAGTGCTTAATGTGATATTTGTCCAATAGTTTCCTCATTGAAGAGTTGTAAAATTCAGTACCAAAGTCTGTTTGTAAATGTACCAGTATCTGTTCCTTGAAAACTTTTCCCATCGCTTTTGAAACTTCACTTGCTGTTTTGGATTTGAGAGGTAAAGCCCAAACATATTTTGAAAAACAATTGATAACAACCAGAATATACTTGAAACCACTGTTTGTATTTGCATATGGAATCATTTCAACTAGGTCAGCTTGAAATAAGTCATTTAAAGATTTTATAATCACTTTACGTCTAGGGAAGTTGATTCTTGCAGGTTTATGTATCTCGTTAACAACTTGTCGCTTAACATCAGTAACACTAAATTTACCCATTTTATTATTATTCAACAATGTTTGCTTCTCGTAACTCTTCCACAATTGCGTTGATCTCGTTGTTATGGTTTGTATTGCCTGGCGTTTGGGAAGCAAGTAACAGTTGTAAGCGTTCGACAAGTTCATTTGGATCATCCCAGTAGATGTAATCAATCGAATTGTTGGAATATTTCATTTCTGCTGACGATGCAACCATGCCATTTCCAGTAGTTGTTAAAGGTTCGAAAAGTAGTTTGAATTTTTCAGATTGACTGTCATTTTCATCTCCAGTGGTCTTGAACCTTTTTCTATTTATATTGGTTCTTGAGATAATGTCCTTGAAAGCAGCTTCATCATCCTTCGTATAACTTTTAGGCATATTTTTTCTGAAGAGTAATTTATACAGTCCGGGGGTTCCTTTGTATCTTCTTCCTTTCACTATTAAATCAGATCCAACGATTTCGACTTTGGAATCACCAATGTAGAAATTATCAATTTCATCACGTCTTATACGATATTTAGGTAAAACATTTCCCTCTAACGCTGGATCAGTAGCAGGGTCATTTATAAATTCTTGTATATATTTTGCCGGCAATGGATCAAATTGATCCAAATATTCACTTTGTGACAGGTTTAAAAATTCATTTTGACGACTTTCATTAAAATCCTTTTGTTTTCTAGCTTCCTCTTCATCTGTAGCATATTTTTCAACATTGTCCCTGAGCAGTAACCTTCTTAAATTATAACTATGTTGTGGTTGATCTGATTTTTTTGTTTTTTTATCACTAATTTGTGTAAAAGGTAATTTCCGTTTGATTTTTGTTATTTTACCAACACGTGGGGTGTAATCAGCAGCAGCAACCAAGGATCATGGTGTAGGCTCATACAATTCTGAATTTACTTTTTTGAATACGTCATCTTCTTCTTCATAATCGTAATTATCTTCTTCATCCTGTTCCTTTTTCAATTTTTTCGTTGTTGGTATTGCGATTGTTGTCTTTTCTTGTTGTTGTTGTGCCAGATTTAGATTTTTATCCAATTGAGTTTCAATATTCGTCAAGTGTTTCGTGATGGGTTGAAATAGATGTTCTTGTAGTATTTGTCCTTGTTTCAACAAATTTAATTTTTCGCGAATAATTTTTCTTTTCAAAATTAATTTATTTTTCAATACTTTATCACTTTTATTGGTTTTCTCAAACATTTTTTAATCTTCTACGTGGTATGCTCAACACTTTTACTATACAAATAAAAAATAGTAGCTGATGCATCTATAGATATATGTAATTGTCAAATCGATTACGATATCTCTCATTATCAATATTACTATCTTTGAAAATTGATAGAAAATCGTACTGTTTTCTCCAGCAGTACGAGCAAATACTTTTAAAATCCTCAAAAGACATGTCGGTACCCACGTGATCAGTATATACATGTTTCAAATTCAAATCATCTTGCTTAAATATGATAATGACATTTGCATTGTCTCTTATCAAATATTTGGGAATTTTAGCATAAGTTTGAGAGAGATAGAAACATTCAATGTTGTTATGACGACCCATACTGAAATAATCACGAATCACATTCTGCTTGTCACCTGCCACATCGTCAAATCTAAATACAGAATTTGGTTTTGCATCAGATGGTGCAATAATGTCTTCTCCAGTACTATAGGAAAAATATCTAATTCCTTTGATTGGTTTGAAAAGTTCCTCCAAATATAAATATTTTGGTTGATACAAACTCTTCGAGTACAGGTAGACATTTTCAAATTTCACACCATTGGGATGTTCCAGAAGGGTAGGCATTACATTGGTTTTACCACAATTCGACGGTCCAACTATTAGACCTCTAATACTATGAGGTAGCAGTTTGCCATGTTTTGAAGATATGTTGTTGCTATGACATCATCATCGTGGTTATTCACTTCCAAACGAATTTTTTGTTTCACGATTTTTTTCATTTTCTCACTAACTTAAAAAACATTCATTCGTGAAATGTATAAAGCTCTGGTGAAATCACAATTTTTATTTAGTTTTAAATTGTGTTTTGTTGATAAAACATGAACTACTATGTGAATAATTCCAATCGTTATACCGGTGAAGGATTACTAAACACTGCTATTAATAGATTGCCCTTTGAACTACACTTACCTGGTTACAACTACTGCGGTCCTGGAACAAAGCTACAAAAACGTTTGGTCAGAGGTGACAAGGGTGTTAATCAGTTGGATGAGGCATGTAAGGAACACCATATAGCATACTCAAAAAATGAACATTTGGATGAACGTCACTAGGCTGATAAGATATTGTTGAGGAGGGCTTTGGAGAGAATAAATGCAAAAAATGCAGCGTTATCGGAAAAAGTAGCAGCCACAGGAGTAGCTGCAGCCATTCACACAAAAGTTAAATTAGGTATGGGTATTGATGTTGCTCATGATCATGGTGTAAGTGCTAAAGAACCGCGTTCGAAAATCCAGCGAAAATGTTTAAATCTAATTCACCGTGGTATGAAAATGACACGAAATTATTTGAACTCTTTAGATTGGCTAGAGAAACAAATAACAGATAACTCAAAAAAAGCAACAATAAAAAAAACACAAAAAAATTAAATTGTTAAAAGAGTTGATCTTAAACCAAAAATAAATAAGCGTGCAGTAAAACGTAAATTTGTTGATAATGATGATGATGATGTTGATGTTGATGGATTTAAACCAGAAGAGGAAGAAGTGAAAAAAAGAAAAATAATTAATACAAAAACCCAAAAACGTAAACTTGAAAATGATGAATCTATAACACAATTGGATGGTTTTAAAATCAAAAGAAGGAAAATTATAAAATTACCTAAAAAAAGGAAAATTGATCACACTTCCACCACCACCACCGATATTCCATCAAAATTGTTAAAACTGGAAACAAACCAATTAGATAACAATAATAAAAGGAAATTCGATAATGATGATGATGAAACATTCAAAAAACAAAAAAAATATTAGATAAAAATTCCAATTTAACTACATTTTCCTTAGTCTTGTGTAAGCCTTCAATATAAGTAGAGGTAATAATGACTAGTGCTGCTGCTGCTGATAACAAAAAAAAAAGTCACGAAAAACAAACAGAAGAAAACAAAGAAAACGTCCACAACATTCCCGTATTGGTACTAAAAGGAGAAGTCAACAAAATAAACGAGGAAAAAAAGATTAGTTTTAGCAATGTAACTAAAACAGTGAAGGATAGCTTAAAGCGTGAAAACCCGAAAGATTTGGAAAGTGCAATCAAAGTTGCTTTAAAAAGTATTAAAAAATCTAAAGGTAAAATTAGACCAGCTCGAATAATTAGAGTACCCAAAACTGGTGGTATTCTTCCATTAATACCAATATTTGCCGGTTTGTCAGCATTGGGCGCGGTGTCTGGAGGAGCCGCAGGGATTGCTAAAGCTGTTAATGATGCCAAGTCCGCCAATCAACAGTTGAAGGAGAATCAACGTCATAATCAAACGATGGAATCCATTGCCATGGGTAAAGGATTATTTTTGAAACCATACAAAACTGGTCTGGGTCTTTTTTTATACCAAGGAGGATGTCAGAAAAAAATACCTTGACAATTTTTAAAAAAGCATTACCTGTTAAGCTACCACAACATCGCGCTCTATCCAACATTGATTTGGAAAAATATGCAAAGTTACTGAAACTGAAACATTTTCGTGGTGTATTCATGAAGGATCAGTTACCCAGAATGAAACTACACAAAAACGAATCTGGTATTATCAATTTGGATAACAGCACAGGTGTTGGAACTCATTGGACAACATATAAAAAAATTGGTAAAAACATCCACTCTTTTGATAGTTTTGGCAATTTGCGACCACCTTTGGAATCGGTCAAGTACTTCAATTCAAATGGCGACTGTAAAATATTTTATAACCAAAATCCTTATCAATCGTATAATTCTGTAAATTGTGGACATTTATGTTTAGGTTTTTTATATCATTGTAAAACCAAATAAAAACTCAAAATGTACTAGTTTGTCTTTTATTAATAAGTAGACTTTTCAATAGTAAACATGTCGTATACGTTTACGTTATCGGGGAGATCAGCGAACCTTTCTGCAAATATTCATCCACCTATAGTTCTTAACGATTCCGAACAATTCGATTTGGGTCTTATCAATTTTGAGAGTTACAATTCCATACCGAACATTGACAGTTCAAATAATACTTTCCACTATGACATTGATGGTAAGTCTTCGATAACAATTCTAGAAGGCTCTTATGAGATAAAAGACATCAATGATTACTTGAATGCCTACGTAAGAGACAATAATAAAGAAGATGATTTAAAAATAAGCATACTCGTCAATCACAACACATTACAGTGTGAAATTTTGTGCAACAAAGATATACATTTTAACAAGAAAAATTCTATTGGAAGTTTATTGGGATTCTAAAGTAGACAACTTGAAGCAAATAGAAGACACGTGTAGGAGAACCCAGTGGATATCTTCAAGGTCAATGCAATTTGTATTGAGTGTAATTTAGTAATAAATTCCTACAATAACGGTGATCCAGTTCATATACTGCACATGTTCTATCCCACCTCACCACCAGGATTTAAAATTGTTGAAAAACCCTCAAATGTCATTTATTTACCAATCAGTACGCGATACATTGATGAGATTTTATTGAAAATTACCGATCAAAGTGGAGAAGCCATTAATTTCCGCAGTGAATTGATAACTGTTCGATTGCATTTGAGAAAATCGTCATAGTGGAAACAAAAAATAAAAAATGGTGTTTTTATATAATCATAATTCATTTAGTGCACCCTCCGATAACAATGATTACAACGAAAACGACAACAACACAACAACAACAACAACAACAACAACAACGACCAACGAGTCCAGAACACAAAAAGCCTTTAAAAATAAGTCACTAAAGGGAAATCGCTTCAGTGTTGGAAAATCAGTCAAACGGTTAACAGTGCAGAATAAAAACTTTTTGATTTCGTTAGGCTTCAAGTTAAAAGTGCAGTAGTGTCATCATTTCGATAAAAAAGAGATTTATACAATTTTGGGTCAACATTAAACTACGAGTGGGTTGTAGCATAAGAAGAATTATTCTATCTATTAGATGTAATTTCAAGTGTACTGAAGAATTTGAAAAAGAAGAAAATGAGTCGTAATATTCTGAAAGTAAGCGAAAGTGTCATATATGATAATTCAATTGTAAGTTATCAATTGTACACACATCAACCCTACACATCATCAACATTCAATAACAATGATGAAATCCGAATTCCAATACAGACACAGGATGTTTATACATTACCCAGCCAAAGTTTTTTGTATATTGAAGGTAAACTTTTATTGTCTGATAACGTAACGTTCAGCAACAATGTAAGCTTTATTAACAATGGATTGGCCCACTTATTTGATGAAATTCGCTATGAATTGGGAGGCGTTATTGTTGATCGTGTAAGAAACCCTGGATTTACGTCGACAATGAAAGGTTATGTTTCATTCAAGGAAAGCGAAAATAATGTTTTGGTAAATGCTGGTTGGGATGCCAAATCAAATCCAGCACTTTTGGATGGAAACGGAAATTTCAATGCATGTATACCTCTGAAAATTCTAATGGGATTTTTTGAGGATCATCATAAGATTATTTTGAATGTGCGACAGAAACTTGTATTGATAAGAAGTAATTCTGACGTCAATGCTCTCATTGAACAAGAAGATAAAAAAGAAACATACAAAGTGACGCTAAGTAAAATTTTATGGAAAATGCCACATGTTAGAGTGTCTGATGATCAAAAATTACGTCTTTATAAGTTTTTTGAGAAAAATTTGGACCTAAATATTGCATTTAGAAGCTGGGAATTGCACGAATATCCACAACTACAAAGTACAACAAATCATACATGGGCTGTTAAGTCCACCAATCAGTTGGAAAAACCACGTTTCATCATTATTGGATTCCAAACAAATAGAAAAAATGTTGCATCGAAAAACATGAGCAGATTTGACCACATAACCTTGACAAATTTAAAAGTCTATTTAAACTCAGAAGTTTATCCCTACGATAACCTCAACCTGGACTTTGACTCCAATCATTTTGCAATCTTATATGAAATGTATGCACAATTCCAAAAATCCTACTATTATCGTGAGCAAAGTGAACCATGCTTCTATCCTATAAATTTCA